GTACTACAGTTTTTGGTGAAGAAAAAGGACATGTAGTTACACATTCATTTTTTTCATTGTGGTCAATAATGATATCAATGACTACTTTCCAGGGTGCTCTTTAAAATATACCATCTCATTGGATCCTCATTCCACATGTGGACAGCAGGCAGGAAAGACATTACTGTCCCTTCCATATAGATGTGAAAATCATGCTCAAAGAAATCAAGAGAATTAATTACTCAGTGTCACACTGCCAGGAAATGGTAAAATCAGGGTTGGAATCCAGGTCTTCTGACTTTAAATCTAGTGCCTCTTTGTACTAGATCCTGCTACAATCTACTTTGATTTCTAATGGGCAGAGCAAATGGATGTACCAGCTCTATTGCATGAGAAAAATAATTTCTAATTATTCTATACTGACAGGAAAAATGTGTATCTAATATAGTTAGTCTACGATATGGTACATTTTGATTTGGTAAGTTTGGGAGTTAAACCACCTCCCTAGACTGCTAGCTCTGCTGCTTATTTGACCTTGGAAAAGTTATGAAGCTTCTTTGAGTATATGCTTTTTAATTTATAAAAAATGGGAATGATAATATATACTTCTAAGTATAAACATAAGCATGAAAAGAAATCATACAATGCCTATCATATTTGCTGGCTCCAAGCCTCCCGGTGGAGAGAGGAGTTTCTGCTTATGAATCCCTTCTTGAGTGTTCCGAATTCAAAGAGAATTGAAGCTGCAGACACAACTGCAAACCTAGTCTCGATGGTTCTACAGTGGGACAAAGCCTGATTTTGAATAACTGATGGAGGTAAATACTAAAACCACCAGGGGCTATATGGATGTGGTCTGCAGGTGAACTGGGCTGGGTTGTATATATGTGTGTCACAGTGTGGTTGCCTTCATTGGCTAAAAAGCATAGCTGGATGATTCACGCTCTCCAGCAAGGAAGAACACAACAGAGGAGAGAAATGCACCTTTGCAATTTTCATTTTTAGATTTTCCTTCAGAGTAAGGCAAAAGGGAAGAAAGGGAACCCCGAATCACTGACAAGAAAACATTAAGTTAAATGGATCAATCTGTGTCTTCTTTCAGGTTGCGTCTCAATATACGGAGGAAAAAAGGAAAACTCAACCCTGAAGAACTAAAAGGCTTTTCCCACTCACTGCTACTCCTCCCTGGTTGATTCACGTACAGACTAACTACTACATAAACCAGTGCTGTTTCTTGCATATTTCTGGCCTCATCCATCATGAGGAGAGAAAGACTAAAGTGTCAGACACTGAATCATCATGTGAGTATTTATAATATTAATTATGCCCATGGAAATTTTCAGCTATTGTCTCTTAGAAGGGTAGGCATTTCTTTACTACTAATGACACGACAGGATTTCTATGAGATGCAAAGTGAATGAGGAAATAAACAGTAAACTGCTTCTTCAGAGATCAAGAGGAAACTTATAAACCTGTTCTCCTGGAAAGCAAAGAAGAGGTATGCAGAATCAAATGCTCCAACCATGCAGCTTAGCTGGAGCTCCAGCACTCTGGTATCACGAGAGTGACTTCATTATTGACAGGGATCTTTCACAAAGATGGGGAGGAGGCCATGATCCTTCCAGGATTTTTCATCTCTTATCTGGTCCTAGATACTTAGAGCCCTGGGGCTTCTACTGTAGTAGCATCTGGGTTACAATCCACACACAGGAATAAGCATAGTCTACTACCTCTGGCTTCAACTAAGCTTGTGTGTTTAATGTTGACCTAGGTTACAATTAGCGAAAGTAAGAATCTTGGAGAGTGAAGTGGACGTCAAAAGAAAAGCAGGATCTGAAAATGGGTAGAACAGAGTCAGCAGAGGAGACATACCAAAGAGTGTAAGGGTCCTTCATAATTAGGAGACGATGAGGCCTGTCCTCCATTTCTAGACCAAACAGCTGTGCCTGCTGATATTAAAATGGGAATTACAATTAGATCTACTGAAACCTAAAAATAAACTTATCAATATTCTAAACAGTCCTTTTACAAATAGCAATGCTGCTTTTCATTTAAACAGTAAGGTAAATGCGTGTAAACTTCCCATACAAGAATTCTGGAGCAAGGAAAATATTTTCAATGTAAAATATGTAGACTTTACAGACTCAAAATTCCCTCAGGCTGCCTCCTAAAAGGGAATGTTTAACTGATTCTGAATTTTAGCAAGAAGGGTTCCTACTCTTTCATTAGAGAGTCAAGGTACTTTTAAGAGTACAAAGGAGGGGTTTTGTTGGACCTTTATGCAAGGCCAGTTTACGTTAAACCAAAATTCCTCTCCCCAATGGAAAACAGCTTTGCTGCTTGTTTTAAAAATCGTCTTTAACAAAAGATAAGCCATCAAAAACTTTTTAAGAAAATAAGATTAGTTAGCAGCTATCCACTAAGCCAGAAATTTAGAAACTCAATATAACAGTAACAACTAAGAAGTTTCTTCTGAAGAAAATAATTTTTTTTTATGATTCACTAAACTTGAAGGTAAAAAAAGATTCCTGTGAGAATACATATTGCATGTCTAACCTACAAAATAAAAACTGCTTTTAAATTTAAAATAATACACATTTAGTGTAGAAAACTCAAAATACATAATTCAAAAAAGGAACAAATAATAGCTATGATCTCACTGAAGTCTCATGCCCCGACACTGTTAGCACTTTTAAAATCCATTCTTCCTGTCTTTTCTGGGCATGCATGTGTATTTTTATGCTAAATAAAAATAGAATATTTTGTTCAATTACTTTTCTTGACAGAATTTGGACAGAGCCGTCGGTGTGAAAATAGCAATCTGTCCCCATATTTGCATCTTCATAAAAGTTCTTTCTTCCTAACATGTGGTCTTCCATGATGCATTACCAGGACCCAAAAAGTGGCATCTCTAGCCTTGTTTCCGTGCCTTCGACCTAGAGCACGCTGCTCAGGTTAAGGGTGCTTGTGGTGTCTTCCTGAGTGACTGTGCATCTTAACTTTCCCCTCCCACCATTAACCTGGGAGTGGACCAGCAGATTCTCATCCAAGCTCTGCTACTACTATTGGTGTAACCTCAGTAGATCACGTACCCTCTTTTTGGACCTCAGTACACTCATCTGTAAAATCAAGGCATTAGACTACATTAGTTGTTCTCAAATTTTATTAGACCACAGAACATTTTTTTTTTTCCAAATTAGAACACAGATGTAATTAGAGCTGTTTTGTTTGAAATGGGGAGCTTGGAGTTCCACCTGCTCAGACTCTCCATCCCTTGTTGTCTCAAAAGGGGACATTGACACTTGAGATCATTTTTCAGGGCCTAAGAATCTGGTCGTGAACCAGGAGAGTACAATACCGAACTTGACTTTCCATTTCCATCCTGGGTAATGATTCATTATCCTCTGGGAATCATCTCGATTTTTTCCCAGTTTCAACGTGGTCTCTCTGGACAGGGACTTCAGGATCTAACCACTCTTCTCTCTGTCCTGTGATCCTCCCATATGATGGAGGCTTGGAAAAGGCTGCTATTAAATCCCACCTAAGCCATGGCCACAGCTTCTCGAAGTTTTGCAGCAATCTGAAACCTCCCCTTCTCTACTAAAGAACCCAGTTTGTGCTGGGCCATGTGAGTGCTGCATGCAAGGAATACCAGAGGGTTCGAGGAGGCAACATTTAGGTAGGTGACTCCAGTATAAATTACTGTAAGATCAGGTTTCAATCAGGTACAGATTTTTTTTTGTTTTTAAAAGCCACCTGTCCTCCTTCATAGAGCAGACAAAATGCAGCAGGCAAATGGAATCATTTATATTGGGAGGGAGATGAATCTCTTAAATGGACCTCTGAAAAGTTAAAGGATTTACTGACATAATTCTTCAACTCATAATTATTCAATTTGAAGCCATAGGTCATGCTGGTCTGTTATGTTGTAGAGTAAAACATCCCCTTTACTCCACACAATTGTTTCACAATTTACTTACAAAATTATAGTTTTCCCCAAATATTCCAATGGCGCGTACTTTAAAGAGGGAATTCAGAAAGCCCAAAATTCCTACAGGAAATGATCCATTTAAATAGTCTATATTTGGTGCCCATATATTCTACATTCATATTCATGACTATATTAACTGAGTTTATTCATCTGAGATGTTTTATTGGAATCTGTTTTTCTGCTGTTGGGTGTCTTCTGCAGAGCTAAGAAAAGATTCAGAAATATGTTTTCCATGTCCCTGTGTATTCTAAAAAGACCATTTAATTTTTAAGAAAAGGTTTGGATGCAAACGACTCTACTGTTATAGGGTAAACTATGTCTCCCACCCCTTTCTATTTGTCTACTTAGGAATGTTATGTTTTGAGGGGAGTGAGTTTTCACCTATTAGTGCAGGAAGTATAAGGGGGAAGTCATTCTTATAAATTGTTATTATGATGAAATGACATTTAAAATACACTACCTGAGAGAGAGGGAGGAGAGCCAACAGGAGTTGAAGGGTTTGATGAAAAGCTGTTGTTAGTGTGATCTGGAGAATAGATCTTAAAACAGTGGGGAGGAAAAAAAAAAAAAACTCTCATTCATTCAGAATAAACAATGAACAATTTCTAAACCACAAAGTTGTCAGTGCAATTCATCCAAAACTCACAAGTTACAAAAAATACATTTAACAGTCAACTATAGTATCAATATTCTGAAATGGAAAACTTAACGATTTTTCAAAAGAAGAATTACTGTTTGGTATGGGATGGTGGGAAAAGAACGCGGTTGGGGTTAGCAGACTTCAATTCTAACCCTTTTCCTATCAATAGTTGGCTGCGTGGCTCAGGGCAAGCCACGGAGATACCCTGAACTTCCCTCTCCTCTTCTACAAAGTCCGAGTGCGGACAGTATCATTTTTGTTTTCCAACTCCTTTAATATGATTAAGGCATTGGACTCCATAGCAAAAGAAGGCCCAGATTAAATAGAAACTTTTACTTAGAGCACAATGTTAATACAGGTTGAATTTTTTTTTATGCTCCCAATAGTAAGGAAAAATCAAATAGAGAGACAAAATCTTAGAGAAACAAATCTCCACCTACATTTGTAAATGACTACGTTTAGCTTTTGAAGAAAATACCAGATATACTCCTTCAGACAAATAAGGTATGCCATTTTTTCACTAGGAAACATGGAAGAAATGTTCGCTTCTAGCTTCCCGGCAGTGGGTGGGCAAAGAGGAGAAGCTGATTGCCCCAGGTGCCAACTATGTGACAATTTTTCATGTAGTTCAGTTATTGTCAATTTTTTCCCCCAAATGCCTTTTCTAAAGTGTTTGAGAACTGTCCCTTGCGAAGTCAGACTTAGTTGGCCAACGAGCACCAGACTACTGTAGAGAAAAATAAGAAATCAAGACAGAAAATCTGTAAACCTAAAGGCCAGGAGAATACCCTCCATCCATAACAGAGTGCAGCTTAGTATCACCGTAAAGACAAGACGAAAGAGACTATCCACACACTGGAAGCTTCAGAGCTTTCTCCTCCAATTTTCCAATGATTGTTATGCAAGAAAGCCAGCGCTTTCCAAAAATCCAAGCTATTTGCCATTCATTTTCTAAAACTCCAAATGTCCACTTCTGATTAAAGTTCACCCTTCTACAATGGTACAGATGGAGTCCAAAGTCAATATTTCCTCACCGAAGCAAGTGCTTTCCCCAGAGCATCTCCAGTCTGGGAGCTGCCTGCTGCCCCGCTTCCTCTGTTTGCTGCAAAAACAAAAGGCAAAATATGAAAACCAGGCAGTGAGACGTCTAACAATTTTCTATTCCTGGTCCATTTACTCACAATTTAATTGCATTTTTAATGCTAATTACAACACATTAATCTTTAATTAGCATTAATTTGTTTGCTGAGGTAGATGTCAAATATATTCATGTTACCTTTTTTTACAGATAAAATATAAACCTGACACCTTGGTTTAAAGATAAAGTGGTTTTAGTTGTTATTACTTTACCCCTTGCTGTTTAGGAGTAGTGAGTGGGGTATGGGAACAAATGGTCACTGCTAAGTATGTAGCAGTTCCAGGTTTCTGGGGTCCTCAAAGTTCAGCTTTTCTTTATATTTTTTTATAGTAAATTGAAATATCTTCACAAATAATTTACACCTGTTTTCAAATAAATAAAAATTGGATACAGAGCAAAACAGGGTGTTCCTCCCAGAGATCCACAGTCAATGAAACGAAACCAAAAAAATCTACAACAGGTCTGGCTATTAGAACTGGGAGAGAAAATATTTTTTAACTAAATTTTTTATTTTTAATTATTATGAGTACATAATAGTTGCATATATTTATAAGGTATATGTGATGTTTTGATACAGGTGTACAATGCATTAATACTCAAATCAGGGAAATTGGGGTATCAATAACCTCACTTATCATTTCTTTGTGTTAGGAATATTCCGATTCCATTCTTTGAGTTATTTGAAAGCATACCCTAACTTACTGTTGATTACGGTCACTTTGTTGTGCTATCAAATACTGTTCCTTTTATATTAACTATGTAAATATATTTTTGTACCCATTAATCATTCCTACTTTATCCACCCACCCTCCTCCAGCTACCCTTCCCAGCCTCTGGGGTAACCATCATTCAGAAAATATCTTTAATGTTTTAAATAACATATATTCTCCACATAGTTCAATCTGTGATCACACTAAAAGAATTTGAACGGTTATGCTACTAAAAGTCAATATGGTCTCAAATTGCAGAGATAAAATAAGTCTATATATTCATGAAGTTTATCTCTACCATCTTGAACACTGGTATTTTTATCTACAAAGTAGATGAACAAAGAGTACTGTTAATAAAAGACATATATTCCAGTATATAATTCAAAGCCAGCTCCATAAAACACATATCTTTTGAAGGTATCTTGCCTTTGTAAATAAGTGGTAAAATGGGATAGCTGGTGTTCTTCTGAGATCTTTAGAACTAATAGAATGCTTAGAATTTTGAATATGTTGCATTTATTAAGGCCTCAACATTAGCAAGTAGACACAGTATTTAAATAAAACCTATTGAAGTTCCAGGGGAAGATGTTTTCCACTATTTTGTGAAATAAAAAAGGAAATCTTAAATGAACTAATGAATCCAAGCAAAACTTTATTGTACACACATAATTTTAAGAATTTTCCTGTCCTTGGACTAAGAGAACCATATTTCTAGTAAATGTGTTATCATCACTTTCCAGACCTGTAAAATGCAGTGTTAGATAGAGTCAGATCTCCAGTGGTCAAATTCTCTGTTTCTCCAGGTCATAATTTTATTTTCCTGATCTCTGCTTAGCATAGTTAGATTATGCTTGTTATTTTCACATACTTACATAGATATGTCAGCTAGATAATCTTTTGATATATGTTTTATTTGGTTCAGAAAACCCATACCCATATTTATTTGTTACTTAAATACTGAAAGAAAACTGGTATGTGTGACAAAACAAACTTCTTTTTCACATCAGAAACTTACGATATTAAAAATACATGGGTTACTAATACTCTGGATTCTATGTACTGTATAAACAAAATTTTTTGAAGTGACTGTCCGACATCATACAATTGGGTTAGTGGAAGCAACTTAGATATCAAGAGTACTAAAAGTATTTAATATAAGACAAAAGATAAAAAATTGGCTGGGCGCGGTGGCTCATGCCTGTAATCCTAGCACTCTGGGAGGCCGAGGCGGGCAGATTGTTTGAGCTCAGGAGTTCGAGACCAGCCTGAGCAAGAGCGAGACCCCGTCTCTACCAAAAATAGAAAGAAATTAACTGGACAGCTAAAAATATATAGAAAAAATTAGCCAGTCATGGTGGCGCATGCCTGTAGTCCCAGCTACTCGGGAGGCTGAGGCAGAAGGATTGCTTGAGCCCAGGAGTTTGAGGTTGCTGTGAGCTAGGCTGACACCACGGCACTCACTCCAGCCCGGGCAAAAGAGTGAGACTCTGTCTCAAAAAAAAAGATAAAAAATTATACCTAGCATAAAAATGAGAAGAATTTCTGTATTAAGGAGTTCTTTAAAAACTAAAAACAACTTTTTAAAGAGAAAATAACAGAGATGAGAAAATGCAGACAGCACTAACATTTTTGCATGGTAATTATGCATTACCATGGTATCTGGGAGCACTTATCTGTTTTTTCCCTAGAAGCCATATTTCTTTTCATTCTTATATATCTAAAAATTAAATTTATCAGTCAAAATAATTTGTGATATCTGCTTGATTTGAATGTAGGTTTTCATAAAATAAAAATTGAGAGCCATACTGGGGAAAAAAAAAATCACATTATCTAACTAAGAATCTCAACCAAAAAAGAACAAGACATTGTTTCAATTACAGATAAAATTTGCTACAGTAATATCTTTCAAACGATTAATTCTTCCTCTGAGCAACTTTTAAAATGAAGATAATAAATTGGAAAAATATTTTCATGAAATAAATTATTGAAAATCAATAAGAATATTTTAGGAACACTTGAAAACTAATTGCATATAGCATAAATCATATTTTAGAGAAGAGACAAAATAAGATCATTCTAATTTCTTTAGTACTATACCTTTCTAACTTTCTATCAGTTTCTGTTTTATACAGGGAGATAAGACGACTCAGGAAATAAATCAACTCCTTACCTCATCTTGTCATGAAAATATTTCAAGAAACTACAAAGGCTACTCACAAAACCACTGATAAGAACAGACTATTTTTTAACATGAAGCCATTTACCTTGCAACAGCTGGGGAGCCTAACCCAAGGGCTTAAATTTCAAAGGGGTTTATTGGGGCTGGTTCGCCCTTTCACTTGGAATGCCTTTTGTTCTGTTCCAGGAAACGCTGGGGAAGACACATTTTCAAGATTCCCTCAACATGTTAAGCTACATGGGTTCTTCTCTTAAAGATTTCTCTGTTCATTTCTGTGTGACTGATATATCAAGGGGCACAATCAGAAAGGAAATATATTTTTAATGTTTAAATGGCATTTTTGTTTTGCATTGAGAAGTGGGTCCTGTTTAGCAAAACACATCAAATCTACCTTTTCAGCTTTCACGTAACAGGACTTGATCACCATCGGAGGCCCAAGTTTTCGTCAACTCATATTATTAGAAATGATCAAAATGTCCATGGAACAGAAATAAAGATGAAAACTACGACCTTTGCTTGATAAAGACTGTACTGATTTCTTATGTTATTTTGGCTCTAATCATTTTCTCTTGCTCACGAGAAAAAAATAATCCGTCTGTAAGTTGAGTTGTAACATAAATATGAATGGAAGATGAGCAATTATTAAGAGGAACTGCAATTTTGTAGGAGTCACTGTCTGCCCCTCCAAGTATTGTTCAGAGGGCTTGAACACAGGTGTTGTTGCTGGCTAGAAGACGAAGCAGAAAAAGAGCTTTATCTCTCTCTCTGTCTCTCTCTCTCTCTGTTTTTTTGTTTTTTTAAATAAAGCAAAGGTCAGAGGAGAATATCTTGGGCTACACATTGGACCACCTTCTGTCTTAGTCTCAGCTTTGGGGACATGGCCATTCCCATTAGAACACACCCTTAACACTGGGACGAATGGTGCCTGGGGTCAACTACTGAAAATCGGAATCTGGAAAACGTGTTCCCTCTTTACCACACACCCGTAACCCAAGGCTGAGAACATACCAGGAAGGCATCAGAGGAGTCATTGCCTGGGAGAAGCACATTGTGCTTTAAAAGCAGGTTCTTCTGAGCTGTGTCTGAGTGCCCCTCATGTTATTAAACGATCAGAAGCAGCATAGCAATGCCGTGAGTTTGTTTATAAAGATGACAAAAAAGGGAACACTTCCAGCACTCGTATTACAACCATCTTAGAATGAAAACTCCAATATATGCTACTACGCACTAATTTTTACCAGGAGTAATTCCTACGCAATTGGGGGAGGCGGGGGGAGTCAGGCTTCCTGACCATGTGCAGGAAATGGATGAGAAGACTTAAATCAAACTAGTTTACTGCTCTCCATTGGTGGTCTTTGTAACTAAGATGCCCTGACCCTGCTGGATAAAATTCATATTGTTCTTACGCTCCCTGCCTGCTCATCACCCAACTGCATTTGAAGGCTCCAGATTCTTGTGAAATACAAAGTGAATATTATGTGACTACTCTAATAATAAAATTACTGTGAAACCAAGTCCTCAAGGGGAAAAGGACATAATGTTTCTACTAGAAAAGCCACATACTAAAATGCATCATGTCATACAAACATGTCATTAGAAGTGAAAGTTGTAAACCAGATTAATTCATGAACCAGATAGATATTCCAGGGTAATCTTTAGCATATGGTGTATTAAATCAATCTTGCTAGTCTGTTCCTTCAACACTGCTTGGTTTGAGGTTTAAAAACATGGGAAATACCATGTATTAGTAAGCAGGCCAGTTAAAGACTAATAAAACAATAATAGTTATTACAGCCATTATGCTAGTTATATGCCCAATTCCCTCTGAGGGAAAGGGAGGAGGTGTAGCCTCAAACCACAGGAGGTCACATCCTGTGAATGTATATGGATGGCACCTCCCAGTGGAGAGGCTGAGGCACTGTCATCCTTGAGTAGTCTCAGTGGACTGTGCTATATTAGGGGGTCCTCTTATTTCTTCTGACCAGGAAGACTATTGGACACCATTGCAAGTAGGAAGGAAATATGGGACAGCAAAATGTATGTGGCTACCATCTTACAGTCATTTCCATTCTTGATAGCTGGTATCCAATAACTTACGTGACACTTCCTCCTCCGTATGCATGCTCAGATGCAGAGGCACTGAACTGTACTGCTTTTGAGATATACCCAGCAGTAATGAAAGAGTTTTAGAAGTCCATTAGAAGAGCACTGATGATGCTAACTCCCAAAGTCCCCAACAGCTTCTCTCCTTCACTGGGTGCTCCACCAGCTGAACAACTGTGAGTCCATGCTGTGTCCCACACACTACATCCATGTACTTCTAGGGTGCTTAAGAGACTCTCCCAATCCAGAAATGTCTAATGTAATCCCCAGAGTTTGTTGGCAAGGCTTAAGAGGGAAGTTGTGGACTAGACATCATGAATAAAATATTTACTCTACAATTCTCCTGAAAATCCATGGATGAATGTATTATTTTTTTTAAAAAATTCCTCATTAATGTAATCTAAGTAAAATTCATCCTTCCTAAGGGCCTCTCAAAAAGGGCCTTTTTACAGGGCAAAAGAAAACAAAACAAGAAATGGTAACTCCCCTAAGCCAAACTAACAAACCTCACTGAGCATCTTCCATCTTTGAGATACAGAGGACAGAGCAAGAAGGGGAGTGTGTTCACAGAGAGGTTACCTTCTGAGAGCACTAGAGCTTATGTCTCAACCCACACAGGCAGTGTTTTAGTTCAGGACAACTGTTGACCACCAGGAAGACATTATAATATGATCCTGAGACACAGGCATAGGTCTTCTGAATTGCAAAAACGAGCTTCCTAAGATATCAACGCCATGTATGAAAAGACTGCACTGCCTTGCAACTTTTCACCAACGAAACTTGGAAAATGTGATGTCCATGTGTTAGTGCTTGAATCCCATTCTTACGGCATTAGTATTGCTTACAGTCATTTTCTACAGAATCGTATGTAATCTCAAACATGTGTCAGGCTATGTGTTCCCTATTTACCAATTATTTAATTAGCTCTGTTTGTTCTTTGAGATACAGGCAACGTAATATTTCTTTATTTCCTGCATTTCAGAATGAGTGAGTATATGCCAAATATTTTCAAAAGTCTACAGATGTATCCTATTAATCCATACTGTTTGTTAGGGAAGTATCAGTAACATCAGAAGAGAAAGCTTCTCTTCTTGTTAAACAGACACGCCGCCTTTGCTGACTTCTACCACACTCGGGAAAACCAAACCGAAGCCTAAGAGAATTAAAGTGCGAAGAAGCATGAGCCACTTGGACGTCATGCAATACTAAGGCTTATTATTACCATGCTTAAATTTTCCTCTGCATTTTCACTTAAGCGACTGAAGGACATAGTGTTTTAAAGGACAGCATTCTAGAATGTTCTCCCTTAAAGTAGTATCTGTGTTTTATGCAAATTAATAAAGGTCTGCTCCCCCCAAAAGCTGAATTATCATGTCTACTTACTTCCTGAAAGATTATGAAGCTTTTTCACATTCTGCTAGTGGATTTTGACAAGTACGCTCATTATCGTGAAATAAATAACTGATGTAATAAATTTCTTAAAAAGCTTTTTTCTGGGTTCCAAAAACCTTATAATTTTCTATTTTTAAAGTATAGCTTCTTTATTTTTGTTTAGACCCTTCCACAGGGCCCTGCGGTCCATAAAAAGTTAGTCCATCCTTAGCGGGTGGCTGAGCCCTTAGCATGCTCCAGTCTGCCCAGAACAAATGAGTAGATTTCTCCTGTTCATCCGCAACAAAACCTGCTTAAACCAAGCAAACCTCGTTCCCACTGGGACCCGTGGCTATGCTGCCCACGGCTCATGAATTATGATCACCCCATATCCTGATACCTCCTTCTTTCCAAGTCACAGTGCCTCTCTCCCAGGAAGACTGTTTAGCAAATCAATCGACAAGACTTTTTTTTCAAACAGTGCCTAAGTATGTTTTCCTCAACTCAAAATTTTGCTCCACCTTCATACCTTTCTAAAAAAAGAAAATTACTCAAACCACAAGTAGACAGGAAATCTGCCATGTAAGAGGATGAATGACCGGTCATCCTTCTTTCTAACCAGACCTCATGACAGCAGAAAGGGGCTTTCCATTTGCCAAACCACACTGAAGTGAAATATGCTTTTCTCACTCTTTCAGTTCTGCACTGCTTTCTTTCTTCTTGTTTTTCAAATCGGCCAAAACTGCATTGATAGCGAACCAAACTTCCCCATGTGACCTCTGTCCATAGCTCTCCAAGGTCAAACTGATGCAACACATTTGTAGAAGCTTGGTTCGCAAAAGTTACAAAAATGGAAACTCTTTCCTCAATTTGTTTCTTAGTGAGACATGACAGCAGAGGGGCTGTGAGATGGCTCATCTCAAGTGTGAAATACATTATTGAATAAGCAGGGAGGGTACTATCAAGGCAGAAATTACATCTGCAACACTTCAAAACACATCTCTTCTCCTTCATCAAAAATGTTCCCACATAAGTGATTCACACCACTTCCCGAAGTTCTACAGGCTCTCTAAGGAGAAAAAAACCACTGCAGAGAGCTAAGAGGAATCAACAGTAGCATTATTCTGACACATGATCTTCGCTCAAAGACACCCTGAGTGTTCTCCCCACTGGTCCTCTGGGAGAGATGTTTGGGCCAACCAAAGATGAGTTTGAACTAGAACCAGAAGAAATGGTGTCCAGTGAAGTCTGAGGCTGGAATGAAGGCCTGGTGCATTACTCCATGTTGCTCATCTGAATGCCAAGGTTGCCAAGGGGGATTCAAAAGGGGGTAGCTGCCTCCCCACCTACCTCGACTCTTTCCTCCAGGGGCAGCTGTACATCCTGCCTAGCCCTTCCCTCAAGGGGAGAGTGCTGGCGGGACAACCATCTGTCCTAGGGAGAGTAGCACAATGGACATCACGGAAAATGAGAGGATGATGGCTCAGTTCATGGCAGCAGCACTATTCTTAGGCCTTAACTCACTAGTAAATTTCCTTAGGAAAAAAGCAGCAAACAACTTCTGGTCCATCATGCCCAGGCATCTCCCCTCTCCTAAGCGAGCAAATACTTCTTCCGCTCTGAGGGGCTCCACGGTGCCACATTCTCTAGAAGGTCAAACTTCTCTAGTTGTTAATAGTCACCTAAGAATGTCACATAAACTAGTCTGCGGAAGACAGGGGCACGTCATAGTTAAGAGCTCAGGACAATAATGGAATTTGACAAGTGGTCAATAACTACCATCATGCATTATTATACCCCCACCTTGCTAGTCTTCGATGGCTCATCTTAGGAAAAGTTCACTTTGTTCACTGTCTTTGAGTGTGGGGAGCAAGGTAGTTTTGGTCTATTTAAACTTTTGTTTAACCCAATGATGCCCAATGAACAAAGCAGCCAAATTTCAGTTTCTTGGGATCAAAAAAATGATGATGGGGAAGCCAGTGATTATTTCTGTCTCACTCATTTGTTTGTTCCTTCAGTTATGTGATGATTATTTATTGCCAACTGCTGTCCAGTTTTGAGGGGGAAAAGAGGTCCTTCATTATTAAAGCCTGGCATCGACTGTTGGCATCAGAATCGGCATTTCCGTGACTCACCCATTATACTGTCTGTCCCGTTGGCAGGAGGCGTACAGGAAGAGGTGCTGTAATGGTTTGTACCACTACGATGGAAAGTGGACATCGGAGGAAGACTGGAATTGATGTCTGCTGAGGAGTGTGATGGATAGCTCTAGAGCAAGAAGCAGAAAAAGGGGGCCATATTCAATCATAAGGTATTTAGTGAGTTAGTTTTCAAATACTTCTTTCAGAATACTCCATTTCGCAATGGACACGGCTCTTAGAATTACAAAATAGCCAAGAATACACCTTGCTTAGATCTGACAGCTTTCATTTTTCAAATAATAAAATACGTAGATACACGCTTGGTTTGAGTTTGCATCAAATGTGGGGGAGTATAATGACAACATAGGAGACCAAAATGGTCACAATCTCTAAAGCTACGAATTACTACTTAAAATCCTTTTGGAGACTTTAGCAACATAAAAGACCATTCCTACTGTTAGATTTTTTTGTATAGCCTATTGATCAAGTGGAAAAGATTCTACTATATAATGAATAAAACCTTATGAATCACAGGGTTTACATTACACTTCATCCTGACCTCCAGGACACTAAATGGCCAAGAGTAACCAGTCTCAAACCTTCTTCCTGCCAAACTGGATTATCTTTCTGAACCCCACAAACAAGAACAAAATGATAAATAAAAAATTTAAAAAGCACTAATGATTAAATATCTCCCTAACACATCAAAGCTATGTAAAGCCTTAAATTAACGATTAGACTGAATTAAACTGGAACCATGATGAACTGAGAAGGACTTATTTTGATTTAAGTTCTTTCCTTACATGTTCTCTCCATTAGCAGTCCACCGTATAGCTGACTATGAAATTATTTGGTTGAAGACTTACCTTTGAGCTCCATTATTATATCAGTTGTCCAAATAACCTACATTCCTTGGGGCATATCCCAGTGCTTATAAGGTGGAAAATTAGTTATGTACTCATCTCCTTGGGAATAAGCAGGTCACTAACAGGGACACAGTCATTTGCAAAGACATACTGCACTATTTTGCTTTATAAGATAAAAAGGAGCTTCGAAAGTTGTTCTCACAGGCATTTGAATGTGTTACAGTTATGTAAAAGAAAAATATTAAACTAAAATATACTTTTCCTTCATATGTAATATATTACTGGACTATAGATCTTTATTATATCATTACTAGAGATACGGTTAAAATTGTTTAATTTAAAATTAAAGATTGACTATGATGCTGACAGTAACGGGCACTTAAACCCCAAACATTTGCTCACAAGGAGTGAAACCTCAGTCTCTTTGGTGTTGTCCTATTCATTTTCTGAGACCCATATTGAGTTCTACCACTTCCTTGAAGATTCCCTTACCACTTACAACTCTTCCACGATCTTTTCTCTCTGCGTCCTGATGCACTTACATTTTGCACTGTGCCACTTAACACTTACTATATGTTGCCTTTCATTTTTTGCTCATTCAAGTACATTTCTACCTATGTTGTAAACTCTTTAAAGGGGGAGAATAGAGTTCATAGCTCTGCATCCCACAGCTTGTGGCTGAATCCTAAACATATAATTACACTATATGCTCAATGAACAACTAGTTATCAGTTAGAGTTTAATTAAATAGTGGACTGAACTATGACTTACTTGAGAGACACCTAAATAGTCCAGGAAATGAATCTATACCTCAGAGCTAAGTCTGTCAATGGCAGATGGGTGTCTTGCAACTTAATACCTCTGATGCCAAAAACAGACCAACTTAAAAATATTCCAGTGAAAAAGCTGAGATGATACCCTTAAACCTTGCCAAGGTTCTGAGAATGCCTTTCAATTTTTTTAATTTCATGAACCTCTTTCCTTGACCAAAAAATTCCTTACACCACCTGTTAAACTCATGTCTACTTGCCACTTAAAGAATACCCCAAGTAGTCCATGAAATTTTCTCTGGAGAATAATGGGGTGGGCCCATTCCATGGCAAAACCAATCTGAAAGACTGGATAAGTCATGGAACACCACACTTAGGACAGCAGGGACAGAGCTATTTCTCCCTAAAGCCAAACACTATAATAAAGTGGAGAAATAGAAACAGAATGTGGAAAAAGAAAAATAAGGGAAAAAAAAGACATAGTTTGACTTCATTTTTACACAGTCCTATTCCATGCTTGGTTTCTGAAGAACAGACAAACTACATATCAGTCCAAAGTATGCAGAAAAAAAGAAAAAGAATTGTAAAAAATATCTAAATAACTATAATCATCAGAAGATGAGAGAGAAACGACAATCGCATCAATGAGAATTTTTGGACTCTCTTAACTTTATGCAAAATGGACAGTAATTCAGGATTTGACAAAGGGTTAATACTGAGTTCACAGAATAAAAAGAAAAATTAATCCCCATAGATGTGGTGGGGAAACCAGTGCAATCCATGTAAATCAGTTATTTTTAGAGACTCAGAGAAAATTAGATGCTGAAAGAAATTAATGAGATTTATAACTAGATTATTTTACAATAAACAGTTTCTTGAAAACTACTGTCACTCAGAGACATAATAAATACACCACAGAGAATATTAGTGTTATGGGAATAATGTCTCTTTTAGAGGATTTAGGGATCAACTGTAAGAGGTCATCTTAGTCTCTCACTCCAGTTATTAGTGTCTGTCCTGCTTGATACAAAAGGGACAAGGGTGACAAGAGTGTGACAAAGTGGTATGGCTTTACATGCCCAGTACTTGCTTATTTTTACTTATGATACCCAGTGTTAGTGTATTTAAGGTCTATTTACAAAGTAAATGTTGGAAATGTTGCTATAGCTGTTGTTTTTATTTGACCTATGGGTTGGTAATTTAAAGATTAGAAAAATACATTAATTGGTAGCACATACTACCAACATAAGAATAAAATAATGCTTTGGGCTGAGGCAGAATTTCACAACCTCGGCACTATTATCTTTTGTGCCAGATAATTCTTTGCTGTGCAAGCTCTCCTGTGCAAAACAGTCTGTTTACCAGCAACCTTGGCCTCTAAACACTGGATTCCAGTAGCATCTACCCCCTAGTTGTGACAACAAAAATGTCTCCAGACATTGCCAAATGTTCACCGAAGGGCAAAATCCCCCTCTCACCAGTTGAGAATTACTGGAGTAAAAGTTTATGTTACGAAAAATAAAAACCAACAGAACTTCCTTTATACTAAAATTCCAGATTCCTGAGACTATTTCACTCGATCATGCCTAAATCATGCCAGACAGTGAGGACTCTATCCTATTTTTAAAAAGAACTCTGCCAACTCATTCCGAACTTAAATCTTCTACAACATCCCATTCCAAAGCTTAACCCCAAACTCCATGCATCTGAGTGAGTTTGTGTGTGTATCTGTAACGTAGTAGTAATTACCTGTGGGATACTATTGCAGACACCGACGCTGCAAAGGGGATTTAAAGACTTAAAATTGGTGACCTGACAGTCTCTACTGACATATGTGGATCTTAAGCTTATTTATACACATTTTATCATAACAGGGCATAAAGTGATGAAGGCAATGATGTTTCTAAAATGTTTTACCTTTAGAGGTAATACTAACTTAGCCAAAGGATACCCAAAATATTCCAGGGAAAGATCTCTGCTTTTTCAAACTATCCCTTTGCTCAGTGTGGGACTAGCCAAATGCCATGAACTAAAATTGTCAGGCACTATCATTATTTTCAAGTGAAAGGACACCAACTGCTACTGTATATTCAAACTATTCCCAATCAGTGTCAGATTCTTAAAAGTCACTTCCGTGAAAGATTTTCAGATGGTAAAATATTGAAATTACAAAGGTAACTAGATCTAATAATTCCATAGTTTCACTATCAGTGGGAAAATTCAACAATATACATCACCAGAGAGAGCTTATTCATTTCCCCTTTAAAACAAAAATCCTGCTCTGAAATTTGCTAACTGATCATATGAAGACTAAAATTCCTGTGTACAAAAACATCTTCTCATCTAGTCTATTGGGTTACTCCTTTGAAATGGTCTTTCTCTTTGGTTGGTAATATTGTTTTGCTTCAGCAAAACTTTTTCTAAAAGGAATGTAGTTGGTTCCCATTTGAAATTACACTTTTTGTGCATCAAAGCACATTTTGAAGATACTTCCCATACCGTAGACTTGATTGGGATAAAATCAAATCACCTAACTCAAAATTCTAGAGCGTGGTAAGAAAAGAAAGAAAGAAATATACGAGGAAAGAAAAAAATCAAATAAAAAAATAAACATAAAAATGAAAAGAGAAAAATGAACATCCAATAGACAACTGAAATTTCCACATGTTACTACAGTGCCAAATATTTTTATTTGTAATTAAAACTTCCCTTGCTCATAGGACACATGTAATTTTGATTATGTGTTCCTAGAGAAATGGAAAATGATGGTGGAGAAATAGAAATGTTAGTCAAAAGAAATTCTAGTATGATAATAGTTCTCTAAGCTTTCACTCTAGTCTCTTCAAGTAGGAGGTGGGAGAAGAGGAAATTTGAAAGTAAGTCATCTGCTATTTACTGAAAATGTGCTGAAACTTGAGATATTTGGGATTCATACATTAGAACTTGGGAGATGACATAAAAAGGCCAATTCCATCTCTACCATTGGCCTCTTAGGTACGTATAGGCTAATTGACCTATCTCCATCACTAGGACCAACTAAATAGGTATTTTCAAGATGTCAGAAATCTTATCTTCTGGATTTTTTTTGGTTTTCAGAGTAGGATATACAACCTATCATGTCTACATACATGTCTACAGACTGTACCTGTAGTGGTTGAGCAAGAGTGGGAACGCCACAAAAATCCAGAATTATTTCCTTTACTGGAACAGAGAAAGAAACATAAATGCTGACAGAGAAGAAGAAAATGTGGCAAACTGCAAGGTACAGAGTAGAGATGGAAGTACCACTAAGGGTCACTGGATTTGCCCTAACCACTTTGTATTTGTAGGAGTTGAGGTTCACATATCTTTTAAGCTACATTATTGCACAAGGGACTCAAGTCTCTTCTTATCTGCACCCCAAACCTAACTCATGATCTAGACTCTTTTCTCCTTTTAAGGACAGATTTAAATTCATCAGGGGATTCTGGGCTGCGGTAGAATTTGAGGCTTAGAAAAAAGTCAGATGAGTTGCTTCTTTCAGAACAAAGAGACATACTAGGACAGATGAGTGTAGGTGATGATCAGAGTGGAAATTTTTAGCAGTGAAACATGTAACATTCTAGCACCCAGCAGTTTTCACAAGGAGTGAGGCAAAACAGAATATCAGTGGCAGATTGGTGTATGAATCAGAGTTAAAATACGAAAAATTGGGAATCTGATCTGTGTGGAAACCCCATGGTTGCTCTTACTGATGGGAGTATTTAGAAAATATAAACTCTTTCTTTCAGGAATGTAACACAGGTCAAGGCGAAATGGAAATGTCCACGTATGATGTGTATAACCTACTACCACTCTGCCCTCTGCAGTCTTTCAGACAGCAACAAAATGACAAGGCACCCCTCTAGCTGAAATCCTGCAACTTAAATACAGTGTGTATTTATGTAGCAAAGGAAGCTGACGCTGTGATAAAGAAAGCAAAGAGCAAAACACAATAAACAAATGAACAATGACAGAGAGGATCTGGAAGGGTTTACAAAGGTGATTTGATCCTGTTATGTCTGTGATCAAAGAAACAATACAGTTGTAAGAATAATGGGTGTGTGCCATTTTTGCGTTTATTTGAATCCTGGTGTACACACATGCAAAGACAGAGCACGAGATTTCATAAACTAGCCGTGTTATTCCCATCACCACGCAAGTCCGTCTTACCAAACGTTCGTGTGGATGCAGGCTGCAGTAGCTGCTAGACTGTGGAATATGAGAAGAATTGCCCAACATTCCTCCGTAGCCAGGCTGATTCATCCCACTGGAGGAACTCCAAGGGTCACTGCTGTGATGGCCATCTGTAAAGGACAAAGAAAACCATGACTTTTCTGAGGCATTCAGCCTTGCCTTGTAGAATAGGGTTTTTTCATATACTTGAAAATGACTGCCTGTTGTGTATTCATCTTTGTGTTGGTTAGCTGATTGCATCAGAAGACAGTCATCATTATTTCTTCCCAAGTGGCACTATGCTGTCAAACAAATATAAACGTTTAACAAAGTTAAAGTATTCTTAGCAAAAATTCAATTGGAAAGGAACAACAGGGCATGTTTCTACACAGAATTATGTCAAGTCAGCATGGCAAATTCCTGCGAAAGAAAACATTTCTTAATATGTCTTCTGACCCTTTTTTTCTATGAATACCAGCTAAAAAGTTAAATTGTTCCTAAACTTTGAGGTGAAAATAAAATACTTAAGACATCACAGAGTTGGCAAGTTTACAGGTTTTGAAAACATATAGAGAAATTAGTGACATCTCAGATTTAAAGTGCTAGATTTCATTTTTGTAAAATATAGAATAGACAGAATTAGAATTAGAATTAGAATTAGAATTATGGTGCGTATGGAAGAGGAGTCTCAGATATATAGTTCTTAGGTTATTTTATTTTTATTTTTTGGCATGTAGGAATATAGCTATCTTCAACCTTCAATAGTAATTCAAGAAGTACATACATATCATAAAGTAGATATTACGCTACAGATAATTTTGAGAGCCTCTGGATTTTATAAAATTATTTATGAGTTTAAAAGACGTTTAAAATTATATGGAATTTATATGAAGTTATCTTTTCATGTGATGTTAACCTTTTGTTAACACCATATTAAAAACATTCCTATAGATTTTTTTCATTCCCTGGGTCTACTAGCCTAGAGGTTGTTATTAGAGATTGCTATTGTTTGGTTTTGTTTTCTCAAGCCTAGGGGAAAAGACAATCTATATTATTGCTGAATTCATTCATTTTTCCTTTCTTTCAATAGTTTAATAAAAATTACTGAGTACTGGATCTATACCAGACCATCTGCTAAGTGTTAAATGTATAGCAGGTATTGCTTTCTTGAAAATAAGATTGTCTTCACCATAACATTTATTTAATAAAGGCCTTTTGAAAATATAGGTGATAGGAAAGTAAAATCTGACACTGTATTTCATGAAGCTCTTTTCCACTGGGTTTTTAAATCCAGAAGTTGGAGTTTCGTAACAGGTAGAATAGTCTATAGAGTTCTTTCTTTAAGAACTATGCAAGCAAAATCATGTGTGCAATTCTGAAAACTTTAGAGTTTTAACTAGAAGATGGAAATTTAAGTTACAAATAAGAGGCCACAGTATTGAGTTTAAAATATGCCCCAGACAGTCTCTGAATATCTTTCACCTTAATCGCATATTCTTTCCAGTCCTGAATTCTCAGGACACCATGTACCTCTATTGAAGAAAGGTGATGTGAGACAGGATCAACGATGTAATTGTTTCTGTGATCATAATGTGAAAATACAGGATTTCTTTTAAAGTTATCACTCATATACTTTAGCTTTAGTCCTTAGATTATAGAAGTTTAAGTGTCACCTTAAATTCAAATATGAAGTTCAAGATTGCTAACATCTTAAATAGATGGCACATATGACAAATAGATTGAGAATATATATCATTGAACAAGAGTCTCCTGAAACATTCTGACAACGTGATATACTGGGTGGCAATACGTTTAGGATTGTTAACACAGAACACTCTATTCGATGCGGACTTATAAAAATACATATTTTACATAAATTATGCTTTTCACAGTAAATTAATATTTATCACATCCGATGATCTTGGCATAATGTTGTTTTGAAAGAATAGAATTAGTTGTGTGCAAATTAATTGTGCTCATGATAAATGTCAACTAGATTTTTTTTTTTTTTTTGCTTTTTGGATATTCATATGCAGAAAAACAAATTTGTTCCCCATATTTTGTGTGGTCTGCTAGGGAAAGGAGCCTACTGTTTTAATCTACCTGGCCTCTCCTGCAACATGTAAAAAATTTAAGAAAGCCACTTTCCCAGGCAGAAAGAAGAAATTTATCCTTCGGTTGATTTTCTCAGTCAAAATCTCTTTTGAGTGATGCATCTTTGAGGTTGACATCCTCTGTAAGCACCTGTAGGACAATTTCTCCCACTGCTCACAAAAAAAAAAGGGGGGAGCCCATGCCAAGGTAGCTACCGTTTACGGCTGAAGGCCTTTTATCGTGGCACAGAATGCACCCAAGCGACACCGCCTGCTGTATCCCTTTGAGAGTTACACCTAGGAAGGGGCACAAAGATAAAGGATCCCTTTATCTTTGGATAAAGCTCCATTATTGTGTAGAACAAATTCTCTCTATTCCCGAGGGACCCACTTGATTCAATGTTATAGATTTTCCATGGAATTTCGCATGTGAACTGACAATCTGAAAGAGCTAACATGCTGAAGGGAGAGAAGATAAACCTCTTCTAATCAGAATGATTTTCAGTGTGTCCACTACAATCTAAGCAAGACACCAGGCTGCTCCCCTGGTACTCTGTGCCCCAAGCGAACTCCTCTTCCTGTGACACGGCCCTTCCAGGAGTAGCATAAGGAAGGAAATCCCATGGCATGTTGCCAGGGCATACACAAATACGGTTTTCACACTCAGGCAAAAAGAATGAAAGTTCTGTGCACAGGAGTTCTTGCTAAATTCCACATCTACATTCAGGGTATTAACTTGACAACAAGATCATCACATTTGAAAATAAGTGCCACAGGCATATCAGGGATGGAGCCCTTAGGGGTATCCTCCAAATGGTTCATTCTTAAAGTAGCTGCTGTCATTTCCAACATCTTGGTCTTTTTCAAGAAGCAGAAATGGCAAGAGATTAGAAGCTCTGGTGGGGGGAGGTGAACCTATCCATCTATACTTAATTAAACACACTGGACAATTATAAAACAAATATGCTTTACCTACTATGAAGCTGGAATGTTCTATATTTGTCCCCCCCCAAAACTGGGTCTTTTTACCCTAAACCAGTTAGCATTCTGGGATACAGCTTTCACCAAGTAATATTCCAGTCTTTAAACGGGTCACTTCATCTTAAATGGGACCCTCGTTCTTACCTACGAATCAGTAAGTGGCTGAAAATTTTATATAAGGTTATACATGAGGACAACTTGTTCCCTGCTGGCTAAATCCAGGATGCTCAAAACATACACTGAGTTCAAACACTTCTAAACATACACATATTCTTCTTCGGGATGGTGAAGAGGCTGAAATGGTCGGTCATGTGCAGAAGCACCAGCAGCATCAGTTCTAAGTGAAGCAGATCAATCTAATCTTAACTCGTTATTGCTCAAGGGGGTTTAATTTTTTAAAAAAGTCTTAGTACAGTTTCAATTAATTCATTCATTTTTAACGAATTCAATTCCTAAGAAGTTCATGACATCCAAAATTGTGTACTTATCTACTATTTTACTCCTGTATGACATTAAATGGCCCAGGAAGATGCTGTCCAGTGGATTTTTTTCCTTAGAAGAAGAAGCATCTTACCTTGCATGAAGAAGGAGCTAGGGAAAGTGCTGGTTGCTGGTTTTGAGGAAGGGTAGCCTGGCGAGTCCCTGTTGTAGTCGGCAGTGCTTGCTGATGGAGCGTAGACCTGTGGAAAAAGAACCAATTGAATTTTGCTTTCTGCACTGACCAAAGCATCTCAAGGTCCATTACTTTACAAGAAGCAGATACAAAATATTAAATTTCTACCATAACCAGTCTAAATCTGAGCAAACCCTATAGATACTGGCCCTTTTAAAATATAGCAAAATTTAAAAAAATTCTCAGTACGTTTGTGTGAATAGGATATAACCAGGTATGATATTTTCCAGTGATAGACAAGAGTATTGCAAACAATGTCTAGTTGTAAATACACTATATAATACCCACAGGGTAGTCCTGTGAGGCAAAGCATTCTTTTTTCTTTTCTTAAACACCGATGGGCCCATAAGCATGTGAAAAGTAAAAATAGACATGCACCAAGCCTCTCCCAAAAGGTTGAGTAAAAATTCTACCTTTCAATTAAAAACTTCACTTTTACAGATAGAGGAGAGAAAGAAAGAGAGACAGTGGGCGAGAACACATGAATGAACTATCCAAACCACAAAAAGTGATAAATATATCTTGGAATATTAAATTCCTACAGTGTCAGCTTTTTGCAGAGATGCAAGTACAAGGCCATGAAAAGCCTGGATCTACGGAAGACCACCAACAATCAGTGTGTGCGCAGGAAGGGGAGGAGGGAGCCCTCCTTTTTAGTGCTTATTATATTTGTGTGTACAATAAACTTAAAAAGTGTGCCAAAAACCTAATTCACTTACATTCGTTTGCTAATACTCATGAGACTTGGGGAACCAGTTCTTTATAAAAATAGCCTGTGTATTTTCTTGTTTATGTTTCCTTTAAACAGGACAGCAGAGTGGAAAAGCATAAATTCATAAGGTACAGTTTAACTTTAATTGGTTTTCACCCTTGCCTTTTCTGCTAAATATAATTTTTTTTTTAATTCCCATTTTCTTTTGCTCTCAAAGTTCCTCTCTCCAGATGGCCAGAAAGACTGAAACACTGTCATCCTCTTGATGAAAATGGATACTTTCCTGCCTCCATTTTGAAGCAGGCAGCGGCTCACAAAATTGGCAGTGAGCCTACAGTGATATTCACAGGTCACAGTAAAAGGAAAAGAAATGCACCAATAAAAAGGCAAGTGCAGGGTTACCAAAAAATAACTCCCATTTCTTTTACAGTGCACATTGAATAAACACCCTAAGAAAAATTATATAATTGCCCTCAGAACACCATGAATCACAAACTAAACCTTGATACAAGGCTTAGGATTGCACAAAGGACAGGTCCAGAGACAGTTGTGGGAGAATATGCATACACATCCATACGTCAAATAAATGCTACATATGCCCCCCCGGTGCTCTTGAAAATTGGGAGGTCCAGGAGCTTAAACAAAACAAAAACAAACCAGAAAAGCCCATTCACACTTTAGAAAAATAAGGATTTTTCTTAAGTCACAACGGATATAAGCCCTATATTTCCATAGGACTTTATTTTGTAATTTTCAGCACGTTTTGTACGTATAAACAGTGATTTGCTTCTATTTCCACAGGGATTACAGTAAGGGGGGAAAAAAACAATGTTTTGAGTATTCTTAAGGAACTGAGAATAAAACTTAGTCCAGGAATCTAAAAAACAAATCAATCACCTAAGTTCTGTCAACCCAAACTCAGAATTTTGTTGAGAACTACACAACTAACAGTTCGGGAAATACTGTTAAATATATTTAGAGGAGATTTTGAGAGTAAGTTAAAAAGATGAAAGAAAATTCACCTTCTAAGAAAAGGGAAAATTGCAAATTAACAGAATGAGCATAATACAAGTATAATATATCTACACTCTATTAGCCTGATAGCTATTTGGCCAGTCAGTATTAATACAAGCTAAATGTGCTATATATTGTCCCCACATTTCAGAAATAAATCTATATTTACTATAAAACTAAAAATAATCTCCAACCCAAATTATTAGATCACTTTATGTTTTAAAACAATTGAAATCAAGTCTTTTAATATAGTTTAACTTTAATTACATATTCTATTACATTATCCTTAAACATGCATATTATGTCAACATCATTTGAGGACATTTTACAAGGTTCATCTTTTTTTTTCTTCCCAATTTGGGTAGAATTACTTGACATTTCTTTTAAAAAATAAGGAAAAATCTTTAGTTAATTTTGGTTATTTATAAGGAGGCTACTTTGACTATGAATTATGATCAAACTCAAATATCTAAGGATAAGATCACTTACCCCAAATTCATAAATACTGTTTGTATGGAAAAGAATATCTACAGAGTTAAAAAGTTTTTAGGATATATTACACCATGCAATTTCTATTTTTCTGCTGTTGTAGCCAATTGAAGACTCTTCAGATAAGATGAAAGTCTTTGTTAACAGGAAATGGATCACTGTTTATAATTTTTTTAAGGCAATTTCTGTATATTTTGTAAGTTTTCTTCATGTAGTAATTACAGATCAGGTACAATGTTATTACCTTTCCATTTATATACTCTATCTTTGTTACCTCATCTCAAAAATTATTTTTTAAGGTAAACGCTCCATATTTTTATTCATATAAAGAAATACCACATAGAACTATACTTTTTAAAAGTAGAAGGAATCAACAAATTTATTTAGTTCAACCCCCCAACAAACATTCTAAACATAAGAAAATTCAGTAATGGAATGGTTAAAGCTATATTACTCTTTATTTTTCACCATTTGATAGGTACTTTGTTTTAAAATTATAGATGATATTTATGAAAACACCATGATTGTAATGTCCATACTTCAGTTTATCTTTAATATTTTAATCTTTAATAACCTGGATGATCAGCAAGTTGCTTCATCATTTTTACTCAGTCAACTATTTTGCCAATTTTCAACCAAAAGTCTTCAAAATATGGGTTTCAATAAGGTTTTAATGACATTAAAATCTGTAAGAATAAGAAAAGCTCACACTCCTTTTGTTTTCATTATTATTATCCTAGGTATACAGAAAGCTTAATAACATAATTACTAAATAAAATAACTTTATTTGATTAATAAAATAATAAAACTCTAGATCTCTCCCAAGAGTTGGAGTTATTTTTAATGACAAACACCAGAAAACTGGTCCAATTTAAAACAAAATAAAAATCCCAAACTCTAGTACAATGTATTTAAATGACCCCCAACAATGAAATATGAGGAAAATCTAATGGGAATCAAAAATCTGCACTTAAATTTTCCTCCAATAGGTGGCTTAGATCAAGGTGATTGCTGGCAGCCTGATTCTTCCCACAAGAGTAACTAAAGAAGTGTGAAATTTTTGTTGCCAGATTGGACATAGGGAAATTTGCTCGAAGCTCATAGGCCACACTTCTTTTACTAAATTATTTTTTGAGTAAAAGTTTCATGGAAAATTAACAACACAGTATATTTAATATTCAAAGTTAGCACCATTTTCTCTCACAACGCTAAATTTAACACAAATCATATAGAAACTCTGAGTTTAACAAAGCTCTCTAGATAACACTAAATCTTGAACTGACACAAGAAAAAAAGGTTTTCATTTTACAGATTTAATTTTTTTTTTTTGTAGTTTGAGAAGTACCACTATGCCGTACTAGCTGTTCCATTCAATGTTCCCAACTATTCTTTCTGCAGTCATCAAGGAAAAAACAGTATGGTGAGTTCTGAATAAAACCTCTGCCTATCAGAAAAGAAGAAAACCAAGCCAGCACACACAAACCAACAAACAAAATGAAGGCAGCATGCCTTTTCCTTTTGATACTCTCATTTTTATTGGTCTTGACATATCAGTTTCACTTACAGAGATTTTAAAACAACAATGATTACCATTTGTTTAGGGCCTCTTGTGGAACAGCTTTTGTGGTAGAAGTTCCACATACATCATTTCTAACCTTCGTAGTGATCACACAAGGTGGATACTGCTAATAGTATTAATATACTATTAGCCTTGTGAATTCCTATTTCACAAGGCTGAAGTATCGTAGAGAGGTCAAATGTATTGTCCCAAACCATCTTGGGTCTGACTGCTAGTTCCACCATTTATTAGCTAGGTAACCTGGGATCTAGTACATTTAACTCCCTGGTCTTTGGATTCCTACCTGTAAAATGGAAATTATGATGTCTGCTATACAAAGTTCTTATGAAAATTAAGTTGCATAATAATATATGTAAAGCAACTACAATGGAACCTGGCACAATTAAGCATGCAACAAACATCAGGCATTAGTGTTGACGTCATGCTGCCATTGTTTTTATTATCTGAACAAACTTAACTCAGGAAGGTTAAGCTATGTTTCCACGTTACAAGTTTTTCAAGAGGTAAAGCAAGGATTTGAATTGGTCATCAACGTCTGTGTTCTTTCCATTAAAAAACAATTGCTTGTTCTTAAAAGGCAAAAGAGGTAAAGAAAAGATATTTTTAACCATCAACATGAGTCTATGCCCTGCTTATAGTTTATAGAAACAGTCTTTTGAGGTCTGATAATTACCTTTTAAGAAAATAAAATGCCAAAAGGCATGTTTATGGTGAAATCAGGTGTGCTTTAAGTAACCTGCTTCCTGAAGTAGAAACCTTAACTCTGGGGGCATCAAGAGAAGTGGCTTCATATCATGTACCATGAGAAGTGTCACTATGTGGGGTTGGGTGACGGCCACTGGATTGTACAGTAGACATTTACTATTCCTTCACATTCCGTGATTCTGTAAATACCATCTGAATATCTAATTTCCAAAGAGAATCAGTTCGGAATAATTGAAACACTATAATTGAGGCTCAGTCCCTTAAAGAGAGTTATTGTATGCTCCATGATAGGAAGAAAACAGCAAAGCAGAATCATGCCACAGATGCCCACGTGCTGGCTAGGCTCACTCAGTAACTCAGACCTCGGGAGATTTCACAAATATTTTCAACGGTGACAGTGAAGCACTCGAATGCCAATATCGTGTGCCACTGCTGATGTCCACAGACCTGGGCATATGTTTTGATGCTTCCCAGCATCTACTGGGGAAACATATTTGCAGGTGATGCG